TTGGCATTTAATCGTGGCGTGCAGGTAAAAGGGAGAGCGCACAGAAATTGCGGGTTACGGTAAGAATAGTGCTGCCGATGATGTGCAGATTTTCTCCTGCTCTCCCTCGCCCTCAGCAGCAGCAGAGACAGCTCTCCTCCAGCTTTGGGAAGAAAAGGGTGGCAGTCCTTGGAAGGTGCAGGGGGATGCACACCCTAAAAGGCAGCTCACCCTGGCCCCAAGGATGAGCAGCAGATGGGAACTACCCTGGTCAAGGAAATGGGGACAGGGCAGTGTTTCTTCTTAGAACTCCTGCCATCCCAAGAACAGGGAAGACCAAAAATAGGACTAATTTGAAGAGCTATTAATAGATTGCACAAACCAACCTGAGAACAAAAAGAAAAGTAATCACAGTCCAAATGAATTAGCAGGTCTTTCTAAGGAGATGACAGAAGGAAAGTTTATTTTGTTTATGGTGTTGGTGTTGTATTGTAGAAATTATATTCAGCCTTCTTTTCACAGTAAAAATTCCCAGCTTGCCTAAGACCCTTGAGATTTTAATTTAAAAAGTTGTTACCAGACATGGACCAGAGATAAACACCCCTGTCTGAGTACACGTTAATTGCTGGCCGCTGGAGGCAAGTGTCTGATCCAAGTATCTCAGCTAAGCTCTCCCCTCTAATGAGACAAACTTCCCACAGTCCAGGAGAGCCAAAAAATCCAGCCCTGAACGTGCAACTCCTCCTGACCTCGAGTTGTCAGGCTGGAAATTGTCCACGTCCACTTCCATGCTGTTTTGTGAGGCTTGTGCCCTGATGTTGGGATGGAGGAATGCTGTGAAGGGATCTGGCATGTTTCAGTGCCAGGTACAAAACAAACACACAAACAAGCAAATAAATAAATAAATAAACACAGTTCTCATTTGGCACAAACCTCCTAGCAACATAAATAATCAAAACCTGATTAACAAACTGGTCAGTTTAAAATGAAAGTAATGATCTTCCCTTGCCTTCCTGCTCCCATCAGGATGATCACAAAAGGTTATCTGTTTCAATAAATTAATTAGAGTCATCAAGCTGGCTTGTTTGCCAAGGGGAGGGTTTGTTTTTTTGTGACCCGAGGGCAGCTTCCCAGGATATCTTTCCCTCAGAGGTGCCACCCAGCCAGTGGTTCGGCTAGGGCACTTCCAGAGGGGTCAGTGCAGGGCTCAGGGCCAGTGCTCAGCCAGAACAGCAAAGCCCTGGCAGGGCTGGCTGGGCCACACAGGCCAGTGCTGGGCAAGTGGGTGCACATGGAAAGGGATGAGATGGTTGTCACCCCATCAGCCCCTGCCCCTCTTGTGGCCAAAAGTCATTCCTCTGTATTGCTCCTTTGGAGGAGGTCAACTATTTGGGAAACAAAAAGGAAGAAGAGAAAAAAGAGTTTCTCTTATTTATGGAGGGCCCTCCTTTGAGCCTGGATAACAAGGAAAGCAGCTCTGCTTGTATGTAACCACAGTGTATTTTTTTCTCTTTTCTGCCTTTTTTTTTTTTTTTCCATTCAAGGGCCAGGTCATTGCTTCTGAACCTCTCTCTCAAGAACTGACACTTAAAGTGCAAATGAAGCTAATGACAAGAGACAATATTTTAATGTTAATTAGATATTTCATGTGTCTTAGTTCATCAGAGCAATATTGCTCTTTTATGTATTACATGAAAGCAGAGCTTTAGCTTGGAGGAAAACAGGGAACACAGTTGGCCATGGAAGTAGTGTTCTTGGGTTTGTAATTATTAAAATTATTGTTACATTTAGGAAATCCAGGAAACTTTGAAAGGAAGATACTTAATAATAATAATGGAGCTACTGCGCTATAGGAAGCCCTGGCAAAGGCTTTACATCTTTCTTTTTCCTCCTACATGAGCTGGCATTGTAAAAGCTGTACTCTCCCAAGCTCTTGCTAGGAGAGCAGACTTGGTTTTTCTGCAGGATTATATTCATATATAATGCAGATACTATGACTCTCTTTAGCTGAATTCCCCCCTACTTCCCCTCCTATGACATATTACCTTTTTAATAGTTATGTTAAAACACCAACATGAGCTGTTAAGGCTGTGCACCCTGGTGAAATGGCCTGATGATGATGTTCACCAGAACTAGGTACATAATGTACAATCTTTTCTGTGAATGTTTGCATTCCTTGTGGCCTGGTTTCTGCTCCTTTTGCGTTCCTTCACTGGCTATTTGAGAAGTTGCATTTCACTGCCAGGAAGTATTTATACAAAGCAAATTTCAAAGTTGTGCACATATTTGAAGAAAATGAAATTTAAGGCCCTGTCACAGCAATGAGCTCCTTCCAGAGAGACCTCATGCGTGGACCCTGAATGCAGAAAACGCCTGGAGAAGGTCAGTGCCTCGGTGAGAGCTGCATTCACCCCCCTCCACGATGTCCTGGCTGTGGACACTCACTGGTGCAGTCAATTTATGATCAGTTTTTAAGAGGTAAACCCCACAGTAATCATGTTATGATTTCCTGACCATTTGTGTTTCAGCTGGACTTGCTTTTGAGATTGCTCTGGGCAGAAGAAATACATGAAAAGCAATATTTGGAAGGAACGACAGGGAATTTCAAACTGAATTTATATATATTCTGGAATAAGAAACATTTTTTTATTTAGCAGTTGGTGTGGGTGCCCACACCTAACAGGAACAGCAGCGTAAAAATGTAGTTAAGCCTTCTATTTTTGTCCACAGCTAGTATTTAAAAAAAAAAAAAAAAAAAAGAAAGTGTTAGGTCTGTGGTTTCTTTATATGTTGTAGAGAGCAAAGACACAACAGAGAGTGAATTCATTGAATAAAGTAGTAATGCAGATGATTTGCTTGGCTTTGAACATCCTTGCCACAGTGCTTAATTACGCTTTTTTTTTTTTTTCAACACCATGAATCCCAAAAGAGGATCACATTTTTGGGTTAGACTTTCATGTAAAACACTGAAGTTTAGGTGGGAGTTTTCTTAATGATGCTTGCTCAAAAATAATGCTACATCAGAGGTGAGTATTTCACCTAAATGGGTGAAGTGAGGAGCTCAGGGTCCTGGGGGCCATTTGCAGATCATTTCACAGAGGTTTGGGTTCCCCTCAGACTGGGGACCTCAGCTGTGACCAGACCTGAAGCGGGTTTGACACCTGAGTTGACGAGGAGCTGGGGAGCAAAAAGGGTTGTGCAGCACATAATCAGCCCATCGTGGTTGGGGATCAATGGCAGCACCAGCATCAGCTCCAAAACACCCCAGGTCTCATTCCTGCCCATCTCTCAGTGTATGCTAGCATTGGAGACGACATGCCGGAAGGATGCCAGAAGGAGGATTTATTTTTTAATGAGAGGGGAAAATAATTTCATAACCCAATATTAAACACGTGCACACACATAAGATAGACATATGTGCTCACACACCCCAGCAACAGCAACCTTGGTCCTGTAACTGCTTGCAGAAAGGAATAAAACTTGTGTGTTTGGGGTTCATTAATATACATTAACAATTGTAAACGTTCTGCCTGAATAAAAGCTGTTTGCTTTGCTACTTCAGGGTTTCTGCCCTTTTGGGACATACAATGGGCAAACCGAATACACTGATAGAGGGCTATAAGTGCTGTAAGTTATATTTAACTAAAATAAACAGGCAGATACAGACACTTCTGCTCTGCTATAAAAAGACTGCATATGCTCGATGCAGGTTTTCTTAAGGTAAGGGACAGAGCTTAGGAAGCTCTAAGGCAGCTAGATTTGCCCATATGGGAAGGCGGTCTTTCACTGATGATTTTGCAGACAGAAATTGCCCATCTGCACTGTTTGCAGGTGTTTTGAATGATTATATTATTAGCTCTGTCTGTTCAACTTTGCTTTTTTATGGTGGCTTTAGTATTGCAGTAAATAAAAAAAAAAAAAAGAAATATATAAGCAGCCATCTGGTTCCCAATTTTTGACTAGCGCTCTTTGTCAAGAAAGAAAAAAGAATTCTCAGATATTATTTCCTAGTTCTGAAACACTGGCAAATGAGGAGAACAAATCCCCAAATTCTGACCTGAATATAAAATGGGGACAGAATTTTCTGCTTTTTATTTAACTTGCTCTGATTAATTCATTTAAAAGCAATTGTCTCTGTTCTGTTCTCGTTTACGCCTCTGTGAAGTCAGCAGAGTAGTTCTGGTTTACACCACCCTTTTAGGATCAGAATCTCCTCCTGATGAAATTGGGGGGGGGAGAGGGGGGTGTGAATTAAAGTGAAGGCAATCATTGTGAAACCATTTTCTTTTTTTCTAAATGGGCAACAAAGACAGCTGGGAAGTGGTCCTTTGCTGTTGGTTTTCCAGGGAGGATTCACATTTCTCTCAGATATTTTTGAAAAGCAATGACAAAACTTTGCAAGACCTTTAGAAACAAAGAACAAGCTATTTGCTATCTCAGCAGTAAGTTCCAAATTCTTAGACTGCATTTAGGTTTCTCCGAGCATAATATTTGATTATTGGCAATATGTTTCCAGTTAAATATTTCATGCAGTGCATGAAGGCCTCTTCTGCTCTCGAGCATTCTGTAGGTATTAATGAAAGCAATGGATTTGTAGATTTATCTGGTGCCTGAATACCTTTTGCTGTAAATTGTTTCAGAGCTGGATCGCGGCTTTACACGGTCATTTAATGTTGCCTCTATATTCATGAAATCGGAATTATGTATCTAAATGTAGGTAGATTGTCAGCAAATCTTCTTTGGAGAGATGATGCCAAGCCTCACAGATATGACCCAAATCCAAATATTCTCCAAGACCACAAAAAAATCACGTGGACTTCCTTCTGTTCTCCATGAGCAGCAGTGCCACACTTGGGACTCCTGGGGGAGGGAAGGGTGTGCAGCTGGCTGGCAGGGCAGCTGGGAGGGGCTCAGCACCAGCATTTGCAGAATAAAAACAAATAGGCAGCTAAAACTGCGTTCCCTGAGATCTAGAGACATCTGAGGCATGTGCTTAACCTGCAGTTGGAGATTGCATTTACCTGCCTGCTCCTGGGATGCTTCTTCCTGAGGCTGAAGGCCTTTGGAAAGACAGCAGCCTGAAATGGATTACCAGTTATTCCAGGAATACCCCAAATCCACCCCGAGCGAGGAGCAAAAAGAGAAGTGTGCGGATCAGGCACTGGGTGAACACGGTGACACTGATGGGCAGGAGGAGTCCCTGGGTCTCCTTGCCATCAGGTGCACAGCCCTGGTGTGTTGTGATGGCCCCACAGAGCTGCTGTGTGGACAATCATGACCTTGGCACAACCCTATTGGCTTTAAGGTTGCTCACCAGCATAACATTTGCTTAAATATGCCCTTTGCCACCACTTGCCTTGCTAGTTTAGAAATTACCTCATTTCTTTAGATCTTTCTGTCCTGTGCAAACAATTAACCCTAATCTACTCATCATTCCTGAGTCTGGGTAAAATCTTTACATCCTGTTGGTGGGGCAAGGATGTGGCACATGGCAGGTAATTCCTTAGGGTTTGTTTACTGGGAGTTTTATGTGTGCACACTGTATTTCTGCTTGTTTTCCATCAGTCCAGCTGCTAAACTAAAATCACCCTCATCTAGTTCATTAATCTTCTATGCATCTATGTCATTAATATCTAGTAATCTGATCATTGTATCCTTAAATTAATAGAAGTCAGCATTCCTAAAAAGATTATACACTTTTGCATCAGCCATGTGACTAATAGTAGCATAGATCCTAATTCTTCCTCGTGCAGGTAATGCAAGTATGGCTGGGATCTCGTTTTAATCCTTAAGAGCGCTCTTAATTCCCCAGGCACCAGAGCTAAGGCTGAGACATCATGTTTTTCAGCAGACATTGTAATCCATGCACCGTTACAAGACTGCAGCAGCTGAATGGTGAAATCAGGAATGGGGAAGGCAAACAACTCTGAGCCAGCTGTGCCCTGTTGTGGGAACTTCTCAGTGAGCTAAGAAAAAAAAATTGCTTAAAGAAAGCATCCAGCTCCTCATGTTCCTGTTATAGGTGCATGGAAGACAACCCTAAGCAAAACAAACAAACAAACAAAGAAAAACCACTAGAAAAAACCAAACAACTCCACTGATTTGTTCTTAGTAGTCAGCAGTCTGTAGCTGTGTCTTGAAGGCCATCTGGACACCTTCATGGAAGCAAGGGTTTATTTTGTGTAGTAAGGACAGCCCTCATGCAATGAGCTCACCAAGCAAAGGCATCAGAGGTTCAACAGCTTTTGTTTGCACTTCCAGTTAAATAATATGAGACATATTGCCAGGTTTCCCAGGAAGGTTGTGGATACTCCAACTCTGGTCCAAGTCCAGGCTGGATAAGGCCTTGAGCAACCTGGTCTAGTGGGAGGTCCCTGCCCATGTTTGGGACTAGATGATCTTTAAGGTCCCTTCCAACCCTTAACATTCTATGATTCTTTTATATCAGCCAGGCAGGTTTCTGTCACACATTCCAGTGTGCAGAGAAGACCCTGTTCCCAAAACCAGAAAAAATGTAAGGTTTAGGATCTTGCTGGTGATGCTCCACTCTTTTTAATTCCAGTGCTGTTTGGCAGTTCCTGCTCTACTGAATTTGTCTCTGGCATATCAACACGGCACAGCACAAGGCACAGGCATCTTTTTGTGGTGAGGAACAGGCTTGGACATGAAATCACCTCTTTGTATTTCCCTCTGCCAGCTATGACTTGGGTGTGTTGTTCAGTTTCCTAGCTATATGTTATTCTAAGACTCGTGGACAACACTAGAAAAGTCTAGAAAATCACTATTTTTTTATTATTCATTGGCAGATCTGGCGAATGTTTTGAATTCCTATGGGATTTTCCAGGGCAAAATGTATTTTGTGCCTGCAGATCCACAAGGGGTAGTTGTGAGATGTGAATTCCTGTCCTCTGGATCCTGGGATCGGGTGAGCTTTTGTTGCAGATTTTGTCTCACTGTTTTCATATCCTAGTTGATCAGTACAAAATGACTAAAACCTGAGAGATGGATTTATTTTTAACTAATGCAAATAATCATGTTGGTTATAATTGTTATTAGGGCTCCTTTGGGAATCTGTTGTTACAAGTACTCAACCCTTTTGTCTCTCCTTTGGGTCTCCAGGCTATGTTGCAATTTATAAAGATACCAGACCTTAGGCTAAATCAATGTCCTTAGGGTTATGAGATGTTGCTAAATATCAAAACAAAATCCCAGTGTTCCAGTTCTTTAACTTCACTATGTTTAATTAGCCATTCCAATTAACCTTCCCTTTGTGTTCCCTCATGTTTAAAGGGTTATATTAAAAGTACTGTAGAATTAAAGCCATTTAAAATATGCTGAGTATATTTCAAGGCATTCAGAAAGCCTCTTCCATGGAGCTGTCCTCATTTCAGTTTCACTGATGACTGGTCACCGGGGGCATATTTTCAAACCTCTGCACCTAGGTTGCAGAAATTGTAACAATATACCTACATGTGCATCCAGGTCACAGCGTGCTCAAATGGGAAATCACTTCTGCAGGTCTCTCACTGCCTTGCTATCTGTGCCTGTGGGCACAAAGGATGTGTGAGGGAAGACACACACATTCTTGCCCTGAGAATTTAGACATTGCCAAGCATTTAGTCAAAGTTTTTTGCTCAGAGGCCTGACAGAAAGACAAACATCTTTGTATCAATGCTGCTGAACTCTGGTTTCTGAGGTACTGCAGATAATTCCCAGACTCAGAAAAAACAGCAGTGTGAGAAACAAGGGAAAAGTCGTAGGGAAACACTAAGCCTCTCATCCCAACTAGTTCATAAGATTGTATTCCTGCATTCTTGTGGACAGATGAAAAGTACTGACTTTTTTTCAGTTCAAACAATAAGTAGCAAGAACAGTAAACTGCCAGCACTTTCTGTGGCCTGTGCCCCCATCCACACCTTCTGCCAGGAACAGGCAATGACCAGATCTGTGGAGAGGGATGGGAAAGGAGGGGCTCCAAAACTATTTCTGTAGTCTTTACAAACCTATGCATTTGGAAATGTATGCTGAGAGCACTCGGTGAGGTAGGAGAATACTATTATGCCCATGTTATTATGCCCAAGGGTGAGTGCGTTTTTTAGATTTATGTTATATTAGGCAGCTTTTCACTTATTATTCTCTGTGCCTAACTCTCTGGATGCATTTTATAAGTAAGTCATCAGGATTTAACTCATGGCTATGGATTTTGTTATGGGAGAGCAGGTACCTAAAAAATCTCTGACTTGTCCAGTGTCATTCTGCATGTCTGGTGGCAGAACTAGGAAAAAAATCCAGTCCATATATCTAATCCCTGACTCTTCCCTAGGTAACTTTCTCCAGTGGTTGTATTGAAAGGTCATTTTAATTCATAGTTTTGTTTGTTGGAGGATATGAATTTCTCTAGGGTGAAATATGATGACAAAACTGCATTTATTTTTCTATTTTCTATATTTGGAAGGAGCTGAGATAATTCTAAGACCAGACTACAGTGTTATTTTAGTTAAATTTGTTCCCTCAAGGAATTTGTCTTTAGATCTTCCTTTAGTCTTTTTAAAGGATAGGGAGGAAAAACAAAAGAGATGTTTATTTTATTGACGCTGTGATATTAGAGGCTTTCGCTTAAGAAAACTGTTGGAGTCTGTCTTTGTTTTCTAAGACAAGGTCAGTTAAAAATATATCAAGTTTTGTGTTAAATAGTTTGATGGCATAAATTCAATAAAGATATTGTCTGGTGTCCTCACTGTATGAGTCGTATGAGATACAAAGGACACTCAGAAAAGCAAAGATTCATTTCCCTTTCCTTCTTCCTCTCCTCTGCTTTTCATTGGCAACAGTAAAGTTCAACTGCAAGACATGTGATTGTAATATAATCAAATAACCTGCTGGTGTCTCATAAAGAAGTAGTGGTTGTTTAAACGACTATTCATAACAGACTTAGATGTTTCATAGCTGGTGATGGTTTAAGATTCAGATAACATCAAATCAGTTGGAGTATGGGCTTCAGCTCCTTTGAAAATGTACAAAGAACAAAGGCAACAGCACTGCTGATGACTGACTAGTTAAGGGAGAAGAAAACAACGAATATATTTAGGATTTTTATCAAGCCTGCTGAAGAATCTCAATGTGAGGCATGTGATAAGCATCACAGAAACTAGAGATAGTGAAAGCTGAAGAATATGGGACATTTAGTATGTCTAGCTCCACAGTAAAATAGTTTATATAGAGAAGAGAGACGGCTAAATATAAATCATTCTCTAACAGTTCTTCAGGGCACATTGCTGGGAAATACTTGCTAACAACGTGATCAGTTTATTTTGTATATTGACTTTGAAGCCAGTGCAGGGAAAGAAAGAGCTGTGACTCTGCCCATGTGCTGAAAGACTACCAGTCCTCCCTGGCAGGGAAGACTCAACCTTGTGCCTTTTGAACAACCCTTCCTTAAGGGTGTTTCCACAGCAGATGCCGAGGCTTGAGCTCACTCCAGGAGTAACTCTTTCCTAGCAAGACATGCCTACAGTAGCTCAGCTCTGCAGGGAAGCTCATGTTAGGGAACAAAAGCACCCTAGGAGAACTTAGATGTAGAGAAGTATTTTTTGAGATTCATTTATTAGCCGCTGTATTGCTAATTGCTGATCTCCTGTTGAGCTAACCTCAAGTTCGATGGGGACAGTGTTTATGAATCTGGTACTTAAAAGGGGAAGTTTGGGGTAAAACAAAAAGTAACATTGATCTTTGAAGATGCATCATTTTGCCTTATCAGCAAAGGTGCATTCAAAAATCAGGCAGTCGCCACTAAGAGTGAGAAATAAAACAACAACAAAAAAAATCCCTCCCTTTGCTTCAGGCTTTTGGATGCACTGGATTAAGTTCACTGCTAATTAGACACAATTGTGAAGCACAATTATTTATGAACCTTCAATGGGCCGAATTCATGAAAGGAATAACGAGTATGTATTTCCCTTTTGTAGAATTTTAATGAAGAAATGGCATTACTATTCATTATTTATCCACTTTCAAATTGTAATGAATAGTTCTACTGGCAAACACCAAATTTCTGTATTTACAGAAAGGCGGAACATGTGTAGATAATAACACAGTTCAGTATGTATGAAATTCTGTACTTCTATAAATATAGAAATAAAGAAATTATCACCAGGACTATTCATTAAGTTTTGAAAGTTGTAAATAATAAATAGGAATAACATTTATTCATTAAAATCCTCCAAACAGAAAATATTAAGTCTTTCTTTCTTAAATAAATGCAGCAAAAGCTAGGGTTTATGATGATTTTAATTTTTTTTCCTTTTGACAGTGTTTCATATGCAGCCTTTATCCTAAATGCATTTTAAATAACATTAACCCATGTGTTTTCATTAAAAGTTGAAATAATACATTATGCTGTGAAACAAATACAATTTAGGGATCCTGTCTTCCCTGGCTGAACATTTTAGCACCATTCTGACCATGAATACCTGCCTCTTAAGGAAAATATCTTTATGCCCACCTCCCTGAATATTATCAGGGGCATTCACACATACTGGACCCCAGTGTGTGAAGACGAAGGTGCAAATGGGACATTTTGATTGCTTAATGCCCCAAACAGCTCATTTGAATTACAGAGCCTTCAGTACCCAATTTCTATACGGATTTTACAGTCAGATGACTGAATGAGTGGAAGCCAAAGCTCCTCACCCCCAGCAATGGCAGGACCTGGCACAGGAAGGACTGAACCTGCTCAGTAGCACAGGCAAGACTGTAGGTGTTGCCTCTGATGATTTTTAACCTAGTAAGTGCCAATATATGAACAAAAATACAAAGAAAGGTTTCCCCATAATTTAGTTTAATAGAACTGGGAACTGAGCCTGATAGCTCTCCTCTGTCCAGTGTCACTCCTGTCCTCCAGCCAGTGCTTTCCCAGTTTCTCCAGCAGAGCCTTGCTGTCCTCTGCCCACGGGGCCACAAGGTCAGTGCCGAAGGTTGAATTCATGTAACTTAAGCACTGTCTTCCCTTTAAAAATACACCTAAAGTTTAATTATGTATTGGATTAATTAATCTTCAGAAAGCTAAAACTTCAATACTATTTTAATTCCTTATACAGTAATTAAACTCTTTGAAGCTAATAAGAACATAGAGATTGACTTTCTAAACTTCAGCGGAGTACAGGATATTAGAAAAAAACTTGCAGATGAGTTAATTATGGACTTTGATAGATGATATTTAATATTTCAGCCCACTGTAGGCAAACCTTAGGGCCTGACCAGGTGGTCCAAATTTCTTGCAGTTTAGGGCATGTCTCACACTGCTCAGCAACAACAGCTCTGTTATTAAAAGTTTATTCCCAAGTAAGGAAATACCTTTTCTCTTTATAAATAAAAATCCAAGATCCTGATAAAACTTATCAAGTTTCACCATAGTATCACAGACTGGTTTGGGTTGGAAGGTACCTTGAAGACCATCTCATTCCAGCTCCCTGCCATGGGCAGGGAAACCTTCCACTAGACCAGGTTGCTCAAGGTTTGATTTATAGGGAGACTTGTTTACATGGTGAGATGTTTCTTTGCCATGATGCTATAGATAACATTTAAAGTTGAATATACACATATGTCTACACAAGTGTAGCCCACCCCAGTCACTTTCAGGAATGATAACAGAAAAAAGTAGTCCAGAAAAATGCAGAACTAGTCACAGGGTGTTTCCCTTTTAATGCTGTTACCTCTAAAACTTGGTTTGTTTTGAAGGAAGAAATTTAGTAAGAAAATACACTGGGGGTCTCCTGTGGTTGCAACCAAATGCTTTCTGATTTGTGTCCTGCTTTCTGTGGAGAGGAAGAGCCAAAGGCTGGTGGGCTGGGCAGGAGGCTCTGGGGCTCCTCGAGCCTCTCAGCAGCTCAGGATTTTGAGCAGCTCAAAGCAGGACTCGTCAGATGGAAACTGCATCTGCATTTTTCACACGACGTTTCAAGGATCTCCACGTGGTTCTCAATAGGCGAACCAGGACTTATAACCCCCAGTAATCCTGGCCTCCCTCCATAAGGGCTCAGTTACAGATGATGGCATGTGGCCCTTGCCATCAGATTAGCTTAAAAACATCTGTTTGGCTTTGGTGGTTTGGATCTTTCTGCAGCAAGCTTTTCAAGTTTGCTTTCTTGTATGTAACATTTACATTGTAATCTAAAAACAATTTTACACATTATAAAGTTTAACTATTTGATATTTTTCATTTCAAAACTAAATAACAGACATTTAAGGGAATATTCCTTTTTTTTTTTTTTAATGACACACATGATAGTATTTTAAAACATCAAATGACATCCACTGTAAATTTTTTGATCTTCCTCTAGCAAATCCTCTATGAGTAAGGTTTGCCCATATTTATGAGGTTTTTTCTCTAGATGTTTTACTGCTTTTGGTAGAACTAACATCTGCTTCTCCAGGGACTCTCCTATTTATGACAATTGGAGATGTTTTTGAAAATTCTTTGAATTAAACTTAGCCTGCTCAGAAGTGTTTCCACAGGAGCTGACTGTACATAGAGCGTTTTTACTGATGACATTTGACAGAGCTGTTAATCCCTCTTGACTCTGATGTATGATATCACATTACAGGAGCTGGAGCAATCGGGTGATATACGCACATGCAAAATAACATTTACCGATTAGTTACCGTTTGTTCTGTTCAAAAACAAAATACCTGGAACAAGCTGTTTCATCGACAAAGAAGGAAGGAGGTGACTTTCCCCATTAATATTGCTCTTCAGCCTGCTTCTTGTTTTTCCATGGCACTTTCTCCTGGCTCAGGGTGGCAGTGACCAGAGGGCAGGTCCCTCTGCCCTGTGCGGGCCAACACGGCCCCTCCAACAGCAGCCACTTTTCCACTTTTCTTCTCCCGTTAGATCATGGAAATTTTGCCAAGACTTCTGTTTCAGCCTTCTGCAGAATGAAATCCAAGAGGATAATTGTGAAGAGAAAAACATTTTTGCCAGCTGAGTCTCAGTTATATCACATCAGCAGCCATATTCTTGTGTGCAAACTGTCTTTAAAAAAAAAAACCAAAACAAAAACAAAAAAAACCCAACGCCAAAGTGCAAGAATCTTTTGGGATTGTTACTGATAAAATCTTTTCTTTTCTCTTAAGATTGTGGGTCCCTAGGGAATTTTCATGAGTTATAAGAGAAGCAAGGTGTTGCAATGTAATGCAACATTATGATTTAAATGTGATACTGTCTGATTATCATTTCTCTTAAGTGCTGAATTTGCAGAATCTTTTTCTGCACACTCTTACGAAATCAAATGCAAGGAAAAGACCCTTCAAAAAAATAGAAGTGATGCTTCTGCATTGAAGTGATATCTGTGCACTTCATAAATTTGATGGCAAATATCATTCTAAACCTTACACTATTTATGTTGGAAATAGAAAAATAAATATTTTTAAATTTTTTTCAAGTCTCTAAATCAAAGTACTAAATGGAGTCTTCCCCAATAGCCATTCTGGTCTTTTTACTCATATCTGAGTCGTTGCATTTTGGTCAGAATGAAATATCTGTGACAACATGAAAGCGAAAAAAAGAAGAAAAAAAAAAACTCTTCTTTAGATGAAGTAAACCCATTTTAAGTTGGATGACTTAAATGAACATGGACAATAGGAGACTTCTTTAACTAAAGAAAAATTTATTGATTCCTGAATATGCAATATCTTTGACTTTGTCTGGGAGGGTGTTTCCTTGGTCAAGAGGACCAGGTCCTTTCACTGGTTACATATTATCCCTTCTCCTCTTCCATACATCTAATTATTTCTACAATTAAAATAGATTGTATGATCTTTCATCTAAATCTTTCTCTTTAAGAAAAAGAGAATTTAAAACTTAATTTATGAACTCTGATCTTGTTAACCTTTCATTTGATTTGCTTCTGGCCTTGATCTTGTAAACAGGCTATTATAGTATCTGCTCTTTTATTTAGTATGGGCTATTTCAAGACACTCCAAAAACTAAAACTCACCTGCACAACCTAAACTAAACCTTTCCTCTCTTCTGCTTCTTTGTTTAGTGTTCTGAGCCCTCTAGTTTGTTTCAAACCTTAGGGAAAAAAATCGTTGAACAGCCTGCATTAATGCATAGGAACTTTGTCTTTAGCCAGTGGTTTCTCAAGAAATCCCCATTCTGTCCAGAGCACAGAGCTATTCGCACTTTTACCTCCTCCTGAAGGAATTTGTACTCTCCATTCCTGCTTCTGTTTCTTCAGACACACTTTGTTTACTTCATTTTCTATGTCTCTGCTACTTCTATCAGCCCAGATCGTCTTTATTTCCCTTTTTCCGCCCCTCTGTCTTGATTCCTTTCCTCCTCCTATAGACATCAGAACCTTAGCTTCTAAAAATCAGTCAAACTGCTCCTTTTCCTCCCTAGTTTTTACCACCTTATTTGTTCATCTTGGTTTATGAATGCTCTGCCTCCCATTCTTCATTCCTTTTATCGCAGTCTTGCATCTCCTTCCTTCTCTTTAATTTTCCAGGATTCTACCTGGTTCTCTGTCTCAGATCTTATTATTGCCCTGGATTCCCCCTGCTCTGAAATGCCACATCTGCCTGTGGCTGCTGACGGGCACTTCTGCTTCCATTCTCTTGCCAGTACTCAAGATGAAGTGGGAATGTGTTTCCCAAGGCTGCACAGCCACTTCTCTCAGGAGCAAGAGCTGCATGCAATTTAGATTTTTTTTTTTTCCCCTTCTCATTGAGCACAATCCTACCCATGAATTTCAGAGGAGGACAAGTTCCTCCAAGACCACAGCCTGGGCAGGCTTTGGTGCTTTGAGGCAGCACATGTAATTCCTCACTGATGTCCCAAAGTTTGCTGATCCCTCTGAAGCTCAAGGATTGGTGGGACTGTCTCAGTTGATGCTCAGTGGGCATCCTGCATTAACTGCTATTTACCACCTTTTAGCTTGTTTGTTTGTTTTGTTTTTCTTAGAAATCTGGAGACTAGTTCCATTTGCTGTGAGGAAGGAAGTAGCATTACTGAGTTTGCTGGAGGCTGTGAGATTTTGTGGAGGTCAAAAAATGGTGGGACAGAGAGCTGGTTATCTCCAAAAAAAGTTCAGGATCATGCAAATGTAAAAAATGTTCTGTATTTAAGATTGGATTTTTGTAATTTCTCAGCTTACAAAGCTTGTTTTTTAACTTATGCAAAGGAAAAGTGAGGGGATAGTGATTTGGGGTTTTAATATTTATTTTAAATAAATACCAGAAGGTAGATTAAAATAAAATCAAAGGTTTGATTTCAGGACTAATAAGAAGGCAAAGAAAAAAATGGGGCTTTTTTGCAAGAAGAAGAAATAACCAACATTCCAAACCACAGTTCAATAATCTGAGAGCTTTAGGGGAAGCCACTATCAAACAGCCCAGGCAACAGAATTAGTTTAGTTTGACTCTATGGTGACTGAATTCACCATTAGTAGTTTAGACTTTATCCTGGTCTTAGCCTTACCCAGGTATGAGAATAAAGAGCCCACGTTCCAGCATGTGCAAAGGGCTGGAAGGATGGAGAGAAGGGCTGTGATTTCTCTCCGTGCAATGTTGTAAGGCTGCAGTTCTTCAGGATGTGCTAAGATTGGACTGAAATACAAAATCAAATATATATGCAGGAGACAAAGCCCTGCTGGATTACAGAATTTTTCAACTGTTGATTCATTTAAAACATGTCACCAAAAAAAAGTGATTAATGACTTTTTTTGCCATTAATGTCACAATGAAGCAATACTTTTTTCCTCTTCTATTTTTCTCTTTCTTTGTTTTCTTTCTTAATTTAATTCTGTATTCACTTTTCATACTTGCTAGTCACAAATTTTTTTCCTAACAATCCCTGGGTACAAACCAACCTGCCCAAATAAGGCTGGTTTGGGGATCAGCGTTTATCTTTCATGAATCATCATTTTGTTAGCGTGCTGTAAATTTTATTGCTTTGGGGTTTGTTTTATTTCCAATGGCTGTGTATGGCCTTTTCACACAGTTTTGGTTGCACCATTGAAAATCCAGAATAACCAGTGCATTAGAGAGTGACCTGACACACACACACACAAAAACATGCACACACATGTGTATGGCTATAACTTTTTACAGGAAGCAAAGCAGGATGCCACCCATATTTCTTGCACAGAGGAAACACAAGTTAATTTGTAGGTTGGTGAGAGAGAGCTTGTGACACTGCACTCCATTTCACATCAAGAGACATTAACTTGAAATTACTGTTTCCAAGGGAAACACTTATGACTCAAAGCATTAATTTGCATTAGCCCACGATAAGGCTAGCCTGTAAATTGAGTTATTGAAAATAACTCTCAACCATAGCACCAAGGAAGGAATTAACTAGGAATGTTGTTCTGTAAACACAAGCTGATTTTTTTTTTCCAGGTAGTTAAAATACTAAAAGTGTGCAAAATGTAATCAATTTAGTTTTCTAGTGAAGTCATTCTTTAACAAATTGTCACTATGGAAGTAATCAGTTTGGATAAATTTGTGTTGGCTGGGCTTTATCTCCTCACTTTTTAGTTTCATGTGAAGAGCCTATTAAAACCCATGGTTTGGGACAAGCTCTACATTTTTCTCTTACAGCTGTGAGGACAATGGTCATTCTTTACAAATTTAGTTCAAGGTAATGTGATGTTCTACCCAATCTGGCAGAAAGATTTATAACTTAGCAACTGGGGGCTAAATTTCTGTGTTGTAAGCAAGTCTGGTCTCAGGCAAATTTCACCTCTTTTGAAGTTTATTTAGAAAAATCTCCATAAAAGATTCACTTTACCCTTTGTGTGCTCCTACAGTAACCACTCAGAGAGAGTTAACAATCAGCAGTATTAATTACTGACATTTACACCAGCAAAATTATTCAAAATACTTACTGATTACCAGCTGCACATGTGCCACCACTGTCTTAAATCTGGGTCAGCCAACATTCCCCAAGTAAATATAGTCAAGCAGGTCCAGTTTTTTCAGTTCTCACTCAGGCTTCCAGCCTCACCCAGCATGATAGTTTTGATACAGGAATGCAAATGCATGCAAAATTTCATGTCACTATTAAAGCTGGTCCTTCTTTTCAGGAGCAACCTAGACCTGTAAACCAGAGGGGAAGTACAGATGCCCCTGCCTGCCAGGTGAGCATGCCCCATCTCTGCATGTACATAGGCAAAAGGCACACACATTGCCTTTTGGCCCTCTCCAAACACTCAATTTATTAGACCCAAAGTTACTCTGGAAGGGGAGAGAGGAAAACAGTGGGGACTAATTTTCCAGACTAAGAACCTAAATCCAGGTGCTCCCTCCTTGTATTACATTACCATCTGCACCTGTGTTTGTACTGCAGCAGAAAACCTTTTGCTTTCCTTCCTTTCTCTTTAGTTCAAACTGAACAACAAACTTCCAAACCTGGAGGCTCAGCCATAGCCCAGTAGGGCACTAAAACACTTGTCCAAAAGGCATACCCTGGAAGGAGACTGATATACCAGTACATGAAATTGTTTCCTCTTCCCCAGGGTAATGTGGTGCCCAGGGAAGTGAAGGTTCACCTTTTGGGCTGGAGAGGGTGAAGCAAACCCTGAGCCACCCCTGCAGATGAAGGATCAATGCATACCTGACTTACAGGCATGGTTTTTCTAGGTTAGACACAGGATGTCTGCTTTTCCACTTGCACACCCATATGGTAAATAATACGATGCCTATAAAAGGCAGGTGACAGCGTTACATGTGTGGGCAGAAAGCATTAATAAAGGAGCAGGCTCCAGTCCTGCCGTTTCCCATCCAGGCTGTGTGTTTTCCATGGAGTGTCTCCCTGCAGTGCTTTACCCCTGCCCTCTCACATCCCCTATTCCAGCTGCCTGCCATGCCCGACAGGGCACCCCGCCGTGTATCTCTCAATTGCTTCTCATGAGTAAGGACATTA